CAACTTCACGGCGTATACTGCCACCCGAAGTCCCCGGCCGGAAGTCCCCGGAGTTGGGGACTGGCTTCAAGGCTGGCTGGAAAGGGGGTGAAAAGGTTCTCATGAACTAAGTTCTAGTTCCGGATTAGTTTGGTGTGAACGGAACATTTCAAGAACTATCGGAACTATACTGGGAAAAGTACTCTGGTGTGAAAGCGCCTATTGTTTCATTTTTCAGAAGGTTCGGTTTGCGTTCACACTTTCGGCAGGTTATTTTCATGCTGCTGTTAATCTGGAGATCAACAGACTCTAGCGGCCCGCGCATATGATTATATAATCAGACAACGTCCGATAATTAAGCAATAGCTCACGACAGGCCGTGGTATATCATATGGTCATTATATCACAGCTAAAGGGCGTTGTTCGGCCCGACGCGAAGCAATATGAAAGAAAAATACACACTCCAATTTAAATAGTTTTTATTAGTAAATAATGATGTTCAAAATAAAATAGTCCCTCCGTTGCCTTCTGCACAAAACATAGTGCGAGGTAGTTGCTGAGCAACAACACTAACAGCTAGCGAACATATTAGACAGCGTTGATCGATTATTTGGCTATTTATTTACATTAATTTGTATGTTGCCGTTTATTGTGCACACACTGAAAAACTGTCCAGCATCAATAGAATGGCTTACGAGGTTACTTGTACTAGGCTGAGGTGGTACTAGGCTGTTGCTTGGCGTGGCGAGAATATTGCTCCACATTCTCCGGTGAGTTAGTCTACCTGCTCTTCACGTAGGTCTGCATGTCGTCGTTTAGGTGCTTTTTTTTCTGGAGATAGGCACTGCTCAATCCACTGACTCCTCCATAGTAAGGCCACTCCAGAGGTCGAAGTTAACATTAAATATTTCCATCTTAAGCTTTGTTAGTTAGTTAGTTAGTTTTGTAATGGATGTAATGTAACAGTTGTAACGGTTGTAGCTTTTTCTCAGACACGGAGGGATACTGACTTGTGAAAAGTAACTACAATTCTACCCGTGATATACGCTCATTATATCACGGCTAAGAACCAATCAGATTGCTTGATTTGACTAATCCGTTTTATAAAAAACATTATAACACATATAATGAGAGACGTTCTGCAGTAAGGAGGGGCGACAGGTGGCTCTTACTTTTATGTATAGTTGACAGAGCATTTTTACTTACACGACACTGTTCAACACTTAATTCTACTTCACTCGCGGATGTTTCTTCGCGGAAGAAATCCGCGTACTTGTGACGCGTAAATACTGTGCTTCCTATGTGTTGGTGCGGACTGCGTTAACACCAGCGATGAACCGCTCCAGAGTTCACTAGCAAACCTCTTTTAAGCGGACCAGTTGTTTAGTTCACTTCGGGGGTCTCGGACTGTGTTCACACCAACCCAAATGAACCGCACCAACCGGTGAAACGCACCAGGGTTCGATTCAACCGGACAATACAAGGCTGGTGTGAATGCGACCATAGATTACACGGCAGGGTCCGTGACAGTTTGTTTTCATCTGATTTCAAATAAACAAAGTCTTTGCTTTTAGAATATTAAACTTGTTTCGCCAAATTCAGATGATAAATACAACTTTGAAGCTTGTAAAGCCATAATTACAAGCGGTAACTTAACGTCACAGCAGGCATAACAACAGCCGGTGTTTCTTGTGAGTGTTTCCCCGGGAAACAAACACAATACACACAAACGCATCAAAGATTATTTTGCGGTATTTGGCTGCCGAACAAAATCATGTACTCAGCTCCAGACGTAACTAGGAGTCTAGTAGATGGTATCAGTACTACAAGTAAAACAAATATATATATTTCTTTTTATTAATTACAATGTTTATAAATGAATCCGCAAAAAGAGGAGGTGGGACCACCATTTGCCCATCCCTGGTCTAATGTAACAAAGTAGATTTACTCAAGTACTGTACTTAAGTAATACATTTAGGTACTTAAAGTTTACGTCAATATGTTTACATCATGCTAATTTGAGCGTTTACTTCATTACATTTTTGTTGTTTTTACTCCACTACATTTTACACCTATAGTTACTGGTTACTTTGAAGATTTAGATTAATAATACAAAACATAAATCGACACATGTTATATTACACTGTAATATTATAGGTTAAGCTATATAAAATAATTAAAATAAACCCCACCTTTACCATGTTCAACAGTGAAGTGGTGAACACATGTATGCACAAATAATTTTAATAAAGTGATTGATAAATATCTGGTGCTTAAAATGTGACTTAAGTAAATATGATACCTAGTAAGAAGTCCAGTTCCAAGCCAAGGGTGAAGGAAGGTGTATACATAAGATTTCTCCATATGAACCGCATTGGTCAGAACGGTCTACAAGCAACAAGTGCAAAAAAAACAAACGTAAGAAAGAATAACCAATTAAACAGACATTTTGTTATTCAATAGCTGCAGATGTGAGCAGTTGCAGTCATGTAGCAGTAGCAGTGGCTGCAGTGTGTAAAAGTGCAATGACATTCAAAAGACCATGTTGTCGAGTGCGAGGTTAAGGTCAACTCAGGTTGATTTGCTGAATTGAGTTTCAACGCAGCATACTTCTGCCTCATTTAATGAGTGTCAAATTAATGAAAGTGCCTCAATATATTTTACAAACACTTTGACTATAATTGCTTTACACAGAATGTGCATTAAAAAAAAGTCACACATGTTTTACTCTTATTCATCTACTGAGACTATATATTCAGAAGAAAATACATGTGGACATTCACAGATACACCCACTGAGTGCATACTTGGTGTTTAAATGTAGAGTTGTCAGTCACTGTACCTCAACATTCTCAGCATGAAACAAAATCACACATGGAAGTGTTCCAATCCAGATTTTAAATAGCGGTGCATCCCTGAACTCCTGGACAAAATCCTGAATTTGACCAAAGAAATCTGAAAAAAATATATATAATTACATATAATTATACAGCATCAAGTAAACACTAACTTTTTCAGTCAAGTCTTTTGTATCATATGCAGCCTCCTGTAGCAGAATGTTGCTTTTTGTCTTACCTCCTGGATTGTTTTTGAACATTAGTGCATTTCCAATGATCGGATATGTTCCTTCCAACTCTGGAATAGGCTTCATTGTGAACCATTTGTGCAGGTAACCGCTGAGCAGCCTGTAGGTGATGTAAGTCAGACTCGCAATGACAATACTGGTTCCAAATAAAGCAATAGAGTAACTACAGAGTAACACTACCATCGTGTCTGCTGTGTCTACTGCATGCAGTGTTTGTTCAAATAGCAGGAGGGCTGAGCACCTGTGCCTTTGCTGTGGACATGTGACATGTGTTTGCTCCTCCTTTTCTCTGCAGCCCGCCTACTGACAGATAACTGGTTTAGGATGAGCCCAGTATGTATTCTCATTTTGGCTTGTTATTATTTAATGCCCTAAAAGGAAAAAGGAGATGTATAACATGGGAGATAAATTAGAGTATTAAATGTGGAGGGAAATAAATGATGATTAGTTGAATATGTTGACACATAATATATGATCAAGATGTTCATTATTTACTTGTTGGTATCAGACTGGCCCCTGACCAAGGCCTTTGTCCTATTTATTTTTCTCCTTTTCATTGTGAATACCTTAATGTAACGTCCAATCTCATTGGTTAATAAATTATATCCTTACCTTTGTGATATTTATAATTAAAACCCTTTTATAGAATGATTGTAAATAATAATGGGACAAAACAACACCTACAGTAATACCAACATAATTCACTAATACCAAAAATATTTCACTGAACACAAGGCAAGGCAAGTTTATTAATATAGCACCTTTCAACACAAGGCAATTCAAAGTGCTTTACAAAAATGAAAGACATTAAGAAAATGGCATTTAAAAACAGTCATTAAAAAGCAAACATAACAAATTAAACATTAAAAGACAAAAGACATGAATAAAAGTTTACAGTGCAGTCTAAGATGTGAATAGTTCAATTAAAAGCAGCAGCAAAAAGAAAAGTCTTCACCCTGGACCTGCAGGTTTCTGGTAGTTTGTTCCAGATATTTGGAGCAACTACCAGAAACCTACACAGGTATACAACAATATTTAGACTAACACAGTGACTGTGTTAAAAAAACTATAACTACAAATAAATTAAATCAAAAATAAATAAATAAAAGGTATGCAATGAGCTGGCAGACGCAGGCCAAGGACAGTACTATAATACCTGGGGTTTCACCAGGGTTTATAGTTTGAAAGCAAATCTGTTCAATAGCGAGAACAGATTTTGTTTTGGTCCGACCAGTCATTCCGGTTTTGCAGCGTAATGTAGTCTGTTGTTGCTGCTGAATCAGCATCTCTGTGACACTGTGTCTCAACAGAGATTGCACATTAGTGCTCTAGCAAGCATGAGGAAACTGAGGTCATGTCATTTGTATTTATCATGATTTAAAAGTGACGCAACCTTGCATGAGTTCACATTCTGGAATACAAACATACACATACAGTGAATATCTTACAGCTGATCTCAGCTTTAATGAGCTATAGTGCCTCAGAGTAAATAGAGCCTGACACGCCCCTGAAAATTAGCCAGCTTTTAGGAAACAGAAAACAAATATGAGTGACTTAACTTTACAAGAAAACAAGTTTCTAAACATTTTTACTAGGTTAAACAGTAACAGACAGTACATGGTCAGATCATTAGTTTTGTTTTAACCCTGTAAAGCCCAAATATATTATATATATATATATATATATATATATATATATGCTTGTTACCTTTCAGATGTTGTTGTAGGAAGCCTCTGGAGCAGAAATGAAAGAGTTTTCAATTTGTTTACGTTTTGGTACGTTTTAAGGGAAACGTTGTAATATTGCAACGTTGGCCTTAGGTGGGAGCATGATTTCTTATTTCTACTCACAACAACTAAGGGTTAATTTGCAGGATGTATTGCTTACTTAGCCCTATATCAGTATATAGCATGAATAATAAACACACATCAGTCATATTTTTTATGAATAGTCATTTATTAAATATTAATACAATGGTAGTCCCAAAAACTGTTTCTGTCGTCGGAAAAGCACAGACGGACGTCACACTTGGTGCATTGTGTGTTTGTGTACCCTTTACTGCAGTGTCTGCAGCGTCCTCTTTGTCTTCACTGGAAAATGTGCCATTAGGTCCTTGCGTACATCCAGTGGAGGTTGTGATCTCTTGGATGGGGTCCCGTGACTCCCATCACCTGAGGATGGTCTCTTCTGAGCGTTCAACGGGCTCCTTGATGTCACTGTCGGTGCTTGGCTCACGTTGCCTGACGATGGTCGTCCTCTCTTGGGTGTTTTCAGAGGAGTTGTATTCACCTGATTAGATTGTGTTCACCTGATTAGAACAGAATCAATCAAGATAAGTGTCAAAAATACAGTATGATACAAGACAAAAGTATTACAGTGAAATATATAAAAATATTACAAATGGCAAATAGCAGAAATGCATTCTTACCAGGATGAGAGAGGATGAGATCTGCCTGAAACTGTCTCCTGTTCAGGATCTCCTGCTTTGGCATCTTTAGAGCTTTGCACTCCCGCTTGTAGAGGAGCCAGGCGTTGATCACAGCAAGGATGATGGTGTGCCAGAAGATGTACACGTACCAGCGTCGGGACTTCATGGGGAACTTGTATTTGGCCGTAAACGAGTCCAACAAATCCACACCTCCCATGCACTTGTTGTAAGTACCCACAATGTAAGGCCTCTCAACTTCTACGTAGGTTTTGTTGGCTTTGTCCCAGCGTTGAATTTTCTGCACAGGGTCTGGTCCAGCAAAGGATGACACAAGGCATATCAGTGTCACTGTCCTCTGATTCCATCTCAAACTCATTTTCTCCTTTTTGGAAGGCAGCAATCACATCCTGCACACTGAATCGAGGACCTCTCTTTGCTGTTGGCATTCTGAAAGGGAAAAAGTAATTAATAAATATGTATCAATAATACATATGCTTATTATATTGTAATAGATTACCTGAAGGAATATATAGGGTGGTGGAACAAGTGTTCATTCGGTCTGGCTTAGCCTATTATCATACTAAAAGGAATGCATGCACCACCCCCTTCCAGGTGTCCCAATGCAACAAGTATCTGAATCCTATTTACATTGTACACTTGAGTCACATGGCTTAGCCTACACCCATACATGCAGGTAAACCAATGCACACAATCCCGCCTATTATCATAATAAAAGGAATACCTACACCCACACATGCTGTCACAGTCTACTCCCTCACTCACATATTTTCTGCATTTCTCAGTCACCTTAGTCACCTGGTAGTCACACCCTGTTTCTCTCTCACACTCTGTTACAGCCATCAGCTCAAGTATATCACACCCTTCACTTTCACATTAGTGCCAGATCGTACTTCGCAGCATGCTAGTCTTTCCCGCATTACCTCCCAGATTGCTCTCCCGGTTTAGACCTTGCCTTATCCCTGACCAGCCTGCTTCGCCTGTTTCCCGACCCTGCCTGTACCTGGACTATTCTGCCTCGCCTGCTCCCTGACCCTGCCTGTACTTGTGTATCCCGTCGTGCCTACTCCTGGAACCCTCGCCTGTACCTGCGTCTCCCGTCTTGCCTACTCCTGGAACCCTCGCCTGTCCCCCGACCAGCCATTTGCCTACTGTTTGCCGGTTTGTCTTATACCAGAACTGTTCAGTTGAAACAATTTGTAATAAAGCTGGTTACCGACTTTCCCTGGTCTCCCGTGTGTTGCATTTTGGTTCTCAGCTCGTTTGTGAAACATGCAGATAAACCAGTTCAACAAGTCACACAATGCTGTCTGGCTAATGATAATAGGCTAATTATCATACTAAAAGGGATACATCCAAGTGTCCCAACACATTTCAGAAAGAAATGTTTCTGCCAGAACCAGAGAAGAGTTAAATGTATTTTTGTAACTAATTAACTGATAAGATACAAGTAGAGTTTAAAATATTGCTAGAGATATAATTTCACATACTTTTATCAGAAATAATGTAATAATTTATTAAATTCTGGTCTTAATTCAACATAGGACACATTTAGAACTTAGCTATAGTGAATTATCAAAGACATTATATTTCTATTTGTGTTTTATTTCCATATGTGAACATATAAGAAGGGCAATGTCCATGACAGGTGCACGTGCTATTTTGACTCCCACACTGACCCAGGTATGTAATATTGCAACAAAGACATAAGCTGCTCAAAATCAAATTTGATTAATGCATTCCGCAATAACTGAATATGAACATGTAATAATCACACACAAAAAAAAAAGTGAAGCATTTTACTTACTTGAATCTGACAAATCCAGTTCAATAAAACAAAGAGATGTTGCTCGTTTGAAGATTCGGAAGTTGTGTGAGGGGTGTAACGGTATCCGTATTCGTCCCGTTCCCGTACCTTCACGGTTCAGACGTCACGGTTCGGCACATGCAGTCACGCGACGAATACGCCTTTTTTTACGAGTGGGAAAAAAGTCTGTCATTCAGGGCAGTATCCACTACACTATATATAATCCAGGGGGCGGTATTGCGCCTAAGAGCTGTTTGCCAGCCGCCCTTAAACGACAAATGAAGAACAAGAAGAAACACAACAACAAAACGAACAAAATACAAGAAGAAGAAAAGTTAGTATGGCGATTTCAGATAACACACAGGAGCTAGAACCCACCTGCTTCTTTTAAATCAGCTGTGTGGGAACATTTCGGGTTCCCTGTGGACTACAATAACGATTAAGTGTGCGAGTGGTGGATCGGACGAGGACGGTGTGTCGCCGTTGTTCTACAGTGGTGCGGTATGCTAATGGTAACACACGCCAAACATGCTCAATCATATCAGAAGGCATCACCCAGATTTGCCAATCACCGGAGCCCGGCAAAAGACAACAGCAGTTCAACAGCTGATCCCCGCTGTTTTTAAGAAGCCAATAGAGAGGCGAAGTCACGCCCATCTATTTCCGGTCCATGGGACCCCGGAAGCGAAAAATTATACATTGAATTCAATGGAGAGAGAAAACGTATCTTTTGATCCCGTTTGAATTGTGCCACGAACTACACATATGATGTTTGTCAATCTTAAACAATCATTTCCATGTCAAAAAAGTCACATTTTGTCGTAAAACTGTTGAAATATAAGACTATGAAAAATACGCGACTAGAAAGACTACAAATCCCAAATCCCATTCTGGGTCGCGTAAGTGATGTCACCGGCGATAATGCTCCAAGTGGTTGGTTCACTTTTACAAGATGCCTGTGTGCTTTGTACCAGGTTGTAATCACAAAAGTGATCATACCACTTGCTCGTTCTATCGCTTCCCGTCTGATGAAAGGACCAGGAGTCGCTGGATCAGACATATCAGGTAATATCATAGGTAATATACATGTTGTGCATGGAACATAGTCAAGTTAGCTACCTAGCTAGTAGCGACGAGTAGCGAGCAAGTTAGTTAGCATTACATTACTTAGTCTTGTCATTTTTAGTAGCCTTACCATGAAGTTATTATTTTATTACATGAAGTAAACCAAAATGTTAAACAGTAAGAGTAGTCATGATGGTAAGTATTTCGTGAAACATTTGAAGAGTAGCTTACTGCGCCCTCCACCGGGTGCTAAGGAAGCAGTTCAGGGAGAGTCGAAGGCAGGCAGGGAGCTTTGCATGACATTCTTTTGGACGTGTTTCATTGTGATGACAGTGAGAGTGAGTCAATCTGTTTGTTGGAAAGACAGTCGTTGTGTGCTTACTGAGAGAAAATTGTTAGAAGATATAATTATTCAAAGTGTTGTTACTTTAAACTAAGTGCTGTTACTTTAAACTAAGTGTTGTTACTGACCTTTTTCTCTTTTATTTTCTTTACCTCACCTGTAACTGCTGAGACGTTGAGGAACATGCACACTGACCTGCTCTGGCAACCTGATTTCCACTGTACGTAATAGTATTTGGTTATGGTATATTATTTATATACATCAAAGGCACAATGCACCCCCCAGAGACACACATGTATTGAGTGTGATATTTTGCATAGGTCATGTGAAATCATCTTTACATACTAGAAAACTGTAGGAGCGGCAACTTGTTTTGAAATTGAATTTGTAATATCCGATAATACAGTTGATCTGTTTTCTTTATTCTTCTCTCTTCCCAGCTCCATACATCACCATTCTCTGTTCCTGCAGGTCCTGCTTGCTAATCAATGCTCATATTTTTTTACACAATTACAAATAAAGTCAATGTATTGTATGACATGAAGTTGTGCTTCATTCGGAGTCAATAATAAATTAATTCTGCCTTCAACTGCACAATGATTGTGGACTGCACCGACATCCATGTAGCTGCCCCCCAGTAAGATGAACCAAGCAAAGAGGGTCACCATCATGCCCAAGGACATCCAGCTGGCCCGCCGCATCCGCGGAGAGAGGGCTTAGACTTGAGACCAGCACACCCAAACACAACGGCTCTTTTAAGAGCCACCTACAGTTTCAAAGAGTTGCAATCCTACGTTATTATAATGATTAAACTGGTTCATGTATCACTTAGTTTACTGAACCGTGATGAATGAAAGAAATTAGTGAGGTAGTGGTTTACTGAAGTTACAAAGACATTAATATATGAGTAACAGGTCAGTGTAAACACAAGCTTCTGTCAATTATGGATCATTCAAACTATATAAAAATATGTAATAAAGTTCTAAAACAAGTATTCGGTATATTCCATGATAGCTTTTGGAGAAGGTTGTTTTTAAGTTTACTAAAATCTATCGTTTCAACTGTTTCACTTTATAAAAAGGGAACAGGTGAGTAGAGCATCATTGAGTTTATTATTCTGTTAGTAAATTATCCAAATGAAATGTTTTTCATTATTTTAGTCAACCCTAAACAAATTGATTGTACCTTTTAATAATGACCTTACATGGTCGCCAAAGTTAAATTAACTTCAGAAAATCAAATCTGTTCTGAGAAAAAACTAATAAATGTTTAAAGATAGGAACTTGCCATCCCACTGAAAAACAGTCCGTAGAGATTTTAAGGCGTAGTTGTAGTTCAGTCCAACGTTTCATTTGGATTCATTTGACAACAGTCAACTATTTTCATAAAGAATATATATATTTTTCAAAGTCAACTTTATTGTCAATCTTACTCAGTTTATGTTTATAGACAGAGAGATCAAAAAGACGTTTAAATAAAATTATACAATTTACAGATATGTATACAAATATATATATCCTATATACACCATCATGTATAATGATGTAGAAGGAAGTGTGGTAGATAACAAGTAAATATAGAGTTACATACAGATCCATGTTACAGCAAAAGATGGAATAACTAAGAAGCACGCAGTATAATAATAATTACATGCAACAATTAAATAACTGCTCAGCATCTCCACCACAATCCCAATCTGCTGTGTCCTGTTTTCCTCCCCCCTGCATAACACCCCATCACACATACAAAACACAACGCAGAGTCCGAGGGTGTTAAGAGTATGTTTATTTAAATGTCCTCCTCTCTACTGGCCAACACGCTGGGTGTAGAATTTTTCCAGGAGGAGGAGATTTCCATGCCATGCAGGGTCTTTGGGGATGGGGATGATGATCGCCTCCTTCGTGGTCCACACAACAAAGTAGCAGAGACTCCGGTCTGTGATATGCAGCTGCCCTTGGACTGGTGCCAGTATGGGTGATTCTCCTTGAGAATATATGACCCACCCTCCTCACGGAGACAGAAGGATGGTAACTGGACTGCCTCCGCGATGGTCATGTTCCTCTGGCTGTGTGGACACTTCACCTCCAGCAGGGCAGATGGCTGCACAAGTCCATCGGGTGATGCTCCCAAAACACCCGACTCACTCACAAAGAGACCAGACTCGAACACTGTCACCCGATAGGCCTGCACAAAAGCCTTCACCCCTTCGGCATCGTTTACAACCCCCCAGTTGACAGTTGGCGATGTATCGATGTATCGATGTATCTCTGCATCGCGCCATCGTCTCCCATGCAGATCTGTAAAAATAAAGTAAGTACCATTTGTTAGCATGCTATAATAGATTGAATGAGCAATAATACAAGGATGGTCCGGATCTGGGGGTGGGAGGGTTTATTTTTCCATAGCTTTGTCCTCTTGTCTGATTGTTGTTATTGTTTGTTTTTTCTGTATTTTTTGTAATTTGTGTTGTATTGGTTGTGATTGTACATTGTATTTTTCTAAATGTGTATGAATACATTTTTTTTAAACATTTGATCAACAATAAAAAAGGATTTGGTCAGGATCTAGACTCAGTGTGTAGTTGATTAATTAATCAATGCTCTCTACATTAGGAAAACACATACCAGTGTACCAGAGGGAGTCACACACAGCTGTGCCTAGATAACCAAAATCATTGAATCTACACACAGCAAATAAAGTCAAATGACACAACGAGAAAAAGGAGATCACACATACAGTATAGTTGATATAAAACTGTCCGCTTCAATCTGAAGAGCAACTAAAACAAAACACGGGAGTGTACCTTGTTCTTGTAAACACTAATGTTATCCACAGCATACACAGAGAC